AATATATGATAAGATATGATTCATTTATATCAATGTCTGAATTGGACATTTTTGATAATGATTTATTTCAATCAAAGAACTTTGTGGTACCTACTCGGAGACTTTTTACATTCAGCTCTCTCATGAAAAGTACAGTTCTTCATTTCCTGATCAAAGACTCAAATATGACAAATTAACAGCTTGTGTTTTTTTTTGAGTTACAGTTCTTATGTCACTCTCTAGCAGAAAACACACACATCATAAAAAAACATTTAACAAACATCTTATCGATGTTTAAAACAACAGGTATATATATGTATAATTACTAATTAGAAAACTCTAAACCAAATATATAAAATTTTAACAAAATGCATAAAAGCTGTAATACAAATCCACAGATGTTGTATAACAATTTTTTTGTGATGGCTAAGAAGTTGATGTCCACCATATAAATCAATCCCCTTATCAACCTTTTAACAACTGTACACACAAAAACTATGAAATATACCTTTATTTCAGAAATTAAAATTATATTGGAACAATGACCTGCAATAATAAAAAGCAAAATATTTTTAATTTCTAAAAAAATGTACCGTAAAAATTTTAACATCAAAAAATAACCTCAAACTGAACTTCAGCAATATCATCTCTGGATATAAATTTGTAGTTAATATAAGGATTTTTTTTTATTTTGATGTACCAACATTATATTTAGCTTGCAGCCTCTCCCTGATCAAAATACCTTTTATTAGCTTCTTCCAATTCCCATAAACTCGTTTCTCTCTCTTTTCTTCTGCTCTTTGTCGAGCATTTTCTTGCTCTTCCTCCCAAGCAGCCTGTAGAGTATCTGAATATTCTTCACATACTACCCAGCCATCAAAAACTGGATGAACCCCTCCACCATGGCCATCAAATCCAACAAGTGCAGGAGCACAGTCAATTCCAAGCTTTTTGGCAATTCGATTAAGAGCTGGCAACTGTAAGTGAATTGTGCCCTTAGGCAACATGGAAGGTTGAAATAGTTCAATATTACCATACTCATTTCGAGGAACTTTCCCATCATGAGCAATTGGTGGAATGTATTCTTCTGTCTGCCACTTACCAAAGACTTCAAGTTGAATGTCTGTTTTCAGTTCACCTACAGAACGATCCCATTTAGGTCGGCCCTTAACAATTTTATAAGGCTGCTCACCTATTCTCACCACACGAGCTTCTTTCATCCACGTTTCACGAGAATGTAAAGTATGAACACATTCCCTTGCATAAACAGGTTCTCCTCGAACGTAGCCCAATGGTGGTGCATCTGGTGGATAGATTGCTTCAAATTTTAAGAGATGCCTTTTTAAAGCATAAAGAGGATGGCTTTTAAAGTCTGCAATGGTTGTAGGTAATGGCTTTTCCATTAACATCACTTCCATCTGCAAATCTTCATTTCTATCTGTCTCATCAGGTAATGGTTTGAAAGGCCTTAGAGTTTCTTCCCACCATATACCATCAACACGGTCTTTCTGAGTGGACGTCATCCAGTCTGAAGCATAACGTTTGGTTACATCTTTAACCCTTCCACTGTTATCAAAGGTTAAAATATACATAAGTGGTTTTGCAACACACTGTTCAATCATGTGTGGTTCATCAAAAATGTTATTTACACAATCAATACTTATCCATCGATTTTCATCTGGACAAAATACCTCAGTCCAATGTTTTATCTTCACTGTGTTAGCATTATCATATGCTGAAGTTTTAGAGTTTTTTGGTTTACCAGGATAATTATCATCTGATGATACAAGAATTGGAGATTTTTTTGATAGAAAAGGCTTTTGTACCCGAGATTTGAAAGTCTCACAGTTGTCAAAATCACTATCAGAATCTTGCTTTGTTCCTTCATCACTGCTAGTATCTTTGTAAGATTTTTTAACACGTGCTCTTTTTCTAAGTTTATATGAATCAATTTTACAATGCTCTTTTCCTTTATTTTTCTTAACAGTATTCCCATTTTTGGATAATTTTTTACACTTCGCCATTTCTGACACTTCACAGTTTTTGTCTTCTTTTTTATTTTGACGATTTTGATCAGTCTTTACACTGGAAGTTATAGATTCTTGACTCTTATCAGCATTTATATCAAGATTACTATTGTTACTTAGAGAGGTCTTAGAAATTTTTTTATTGCCCTTTCCTTTTTTTTCAGATTTGGGAACTTCATTACTCATAACGGGGTTGTAGCTTGTACAGGGCATACTAGTTTCTTTACAATTCTTTAATTTCTTATTAGAATGATTTATTTTCTTTTTATTTGCTTTTCTTTCCAATTGAATTTCTTGCTTAGGCCAATTGCTTTCCTCAGACACCATTTCTTTTTCCAGTTTCTTTTTACTGCTGTGTTTTCTTAATAGATCACTAGGTTTTAATGGCATTGGGTATAAAGAGCTACACAGCCGCACCTTGTAGCCAACAATTCTACTTACCGCAACAAAAAGTAACACATAATCCAAAACACAATTGATCACCTTTGTTTCACAACATTCAATTATCATATTTTCAAAATCAACATGGTTACAGTCATTTTGGTGTTGAAAACAATATAAAAAGTAGCCCCTAAACCATATTAGCATATTTTGCAAAGTAGCAATGTTAAAATTACAACTTTTAAGTTCATGAAACTCTTCAGGAATAATGGAGAATATCACTGCTTCTACGAGGGTACCATTCACAATTCGGTTTACAATCATTCCACGAGCAAGTAAGCACAGTAGATGAACTTTATGAAGTGACTCTTGAACATCTTTTTTGAATCGATTAATTTGTCTTTGAACAAACACTGCCATGTCAAATTTCTTTTTGTGCTGTCTTCTCTTCCATACTTTGGGTGCTGCCAAGATGATTTCCACTCCTTCTTTAGGAATTACTGGTTCTTTCGTTGCTTCTTGTGCTTCTTCAACTTCTTCCCATTCAGATTCACTACTTGAATCATCCTGCTTCTCTATAAGCACTTTATTAGCTGCTGTAGAAAATTTAGATAAATTATCACTTGTGGAACTGTCAGTATCACTGCTTATTTCTTTAGAATTCACATCTCCAGTTTCTAAGTTTCCTAAATTTTTAAATTCCTGAGCCAACAACAATTCACGAGAAGATAAGCTGTTTAAATTGTGGTTTTTTGCAACCTTAATCTTCATTTGACTAGTTGAAGGCAGTTTAGCTTCTGAATGTAGCATTTCATCATTAGTTGGGTTTTTTTCAGATATATTACTTAGAAATGATTTAGCTGAATAAGTGCTTTCAATACATTCTCCTTTCTTCTGTTTACTACCTTTACTAATTCTAGGCTGTTGTTGGCAATGTGCAGTTGAGTTATCAGCTGAAACATTATTTGTGTTTTTTTCATTGTTTTTTGGTGTCTGTATACCTGAACACTGGAGATTTCTAACAGACTGACGTCTTGTGTTTTTAATATTACCCATTTTCACTTCACTTGAACTTGAATAATTTTTAACTGTCTGGTGAAGCAAACAGCTTATCTTTCGTTTTTTTATAGGTGATTTATTTGAATCAACACTGCTTCTTAGTCTTCTTTTTCCAGACATTATAATGTATGTATTCAAACTACTTTCCCTATATTAAATCTTACATGAATGTTACTTTCTTAAACAATGTTATCAAAGTCGAAAGTGTTCACATTTCAGTCTATTACCATGTATTACAGATTTAAGTATTAATTTGTATCTAATGCACGAACAATGTCCGCATATAAGTTATCACTCAAACGCAAAGGCGTAATATCAGTATATGACCCAGGCCAAATTAACATGATGAACAGAACCATTACAAACGTAGTAGTACTACCAAATTGTAAAATTCGAAATAGTTTCTACTCACTAAGCCTACCTTAAATTAAGAAAAAAAAATATTGACACATTCCAACAAAATAGCTGCGAGTCGAAATAGTTCACATCATATTTTTATCATCACAAAACAATATTTATTTTGGTTTCACATTCACCAGCAGAATTAGTTATATAACATTCGCGCGAATACCGTTCATGTTACATATTATTAGTGATTTTAAACGCCCTCTATGTTTCATTAAACAAAGAAAGAAATTCAATTCCGTTTGAATGAATACAGAAACGAAAAAATGTTTTGTTTTTACAATTACAATTTGCATATGTCAACGATACCATAAGCACATTTTGAATTGATATTAGTAAAACCTTTAGCCATTTAGCTCTTTGACTTAAAAAAATATCCGCATAATACAATTTTTAACTTGAACAGTGCTAGGAGAATAACGAATTTAATTTTTTGTTAAGACATTTTAGCTTAAAGATGGAATTGTGATCGTCCAAAGTTGCGTAAATAGTCATTTATTGTTTCTTTCTTTTTTCTGAAAAAAAAACGAAAGCTAATCAAAAGAGAAATTTGAACTTGTTACTTCGCTGGCATTTTAAACAACAAAACTGTTGGTTCTGTTAAAAATACCACAAGTCTGGCTTCTTAAATCATTCGTTCAGGAAAATTTTACTAGCACAAAAAGAAAGCTTCCACTGAAAATTAGCCAACTATTACGCTTAAGGAGAGGAAAATTTCCAAGATAATTTCCTCCTGAAGGCTGTGCAAGATTCTTTAACCTCCTTCAAAATTTTCATTTACAGTGGATCCATTAATAATCCGAAAAGCCAACGTCGGTAACCTTCTTTCCTCACAGTCCCAGACCCAGGTTGCGTGATAATAAAAGCAGTCGCAGTAGAAAGCAAAAACTCTCCAAAAGTGGTGTTAAGTGAGTCAGAAATTGCTTTTTACATGATACACGACAGCCCAGTAGAATAATAATTATCAGAGCTTTTTACCTCCGCTCCCTCAAATACACACGTAATAAAACCAACAACATTCAACTTTCATTAAATTAATTAAACTAATTTAAACCCATACATTTAATATACAGTTACATAGATTTGATTAATAACTCATCTTATTAGCGTGATTGATGCGCCTGTTTTTTGTTTGTTTGTTTTCTTTTCTTTTTGGAGCTGAGCAATTCTATCCTGGGCTGGATGCTTTGGACCACTATATTTAAAATCCCTACTACATGAAGATGAGATTGGTGTCACAAAAAGACAGAAAAAAAAAGAAATTAAGACATCCATAGCAACTTTGGATAATGCTATGATCAGATATGAGAGTGATAACTGTATTATTTTTTGGTGTAGTCGTGTTATTCATTACAGTAAATAATTGTTGCTGTAATATTTTTCTTTAATTTTCTCACGGACCCCAAAATACGTTCCGCCACTCCCATGGGCGCGTGCCCTTAAATTTAAGAACCCGTGACCCAGATGAAGTACAGATGTAAACATTATCTCCAGAACAATAAGAAACACATTAACAAGAAGTGACCTTCTTGGATGTCCTATTGGTCTAAAACCACAGTTAAGAAGAGATAACCAAGCCAAAAAGCTGAAATTAACAACAGACTTCAAACAGCGAGATGAACAAAGCTAGAATAGGGTGCCTTTTACAGATGAATTATGCTAAGTTCAAATAGTTTGGCAAAGTCATTGGTGGTTTACCCGATGGCAGAGAGGAAAACGGCATCACGATTAAAGTACAGCATCTACAATCAAATATTTCTGGGAACAATCCAAGTGTGGGCTGCATCTTAGCCAACAACTTCGAAAATCTGTACAAAACTGACGTGACTCTTACTGCTGGCGTATAGAATCCGATTCTTATCTATCATGTCATTACCTCAGGAACATAATATGTTAAATAGAGATTCATCTTCTAGCAAGGCAATGATTTCAAACATTTAGCATTTGTATTGAAACGATATCTAGAAGAAAACAAAAGACTGTTGGAACACTGGTTTAACTTGCACAAAGTCCTGTTATGAATACTATTAAAGATGTATGATCTCATATGGAAACTGAGGTCAATAGACAACCACACAACATAGCTGAACTGTGTGGAGTAATCCAAGACATTGGGAATAATATTTCATAATCAAATATTGATAATATTAATGTTGCAGCATTAAAAAAAAAGCCTTAAATCGTATGCAAATAACTAATGCATTCTGCAACTTTGTCATTTAGATATAATTGATTAATTTATTTTGTGAGTGA